GTCAGTTTAAGCATTAATATCACGTAGACGCTGAGTCTAGCTGGGATGGTAAAAATCTAGTCTTTCAGTTACTTTGCTGTGTATTATCTAAATTTAGCTTCGCAGATTAATTTGCGCATTCTTTTTTCCTACGCTCGTAATTTTTATGGCACTTCGTACGCAAAGCGAGGTGAAAATCATTCTCGATCAGTACTGGGAAGCAGTTATAAAACTGGTTTCTGTGTTCTCATATTCAGCTTTGAACTTTTTTTAAGCAGGTTTGTAGGATGCCTTAGAAGCATAAAGTAACAAATGCGCGCTCTTTATTTTCTTCTCTTTAGTTCTCTAAACTTAAGATCTAGCGAATGTTCTGGGTGAGAGAAGGGGAGGGGGGATGATTCAAGTTAAGGAAAATGGGGGCCTCTGCCTCCCATTCTTTGAAGCTTTTTCTTATTTTCAAGTATTTTTTCTAACGTTCTAATCTCTTCTTATTTGAGCATAACGGATCCTAAAATTTTGAATTTTTTGGATTGCTTCGATGAACAGGAGAAGTTGTGATGCACACTAAAACAAGAATGATTAATCACTAGTTTACGAGGCTGCTGAATTGCAGGTGGGACACTGCCGCTTCCGCCTGGCGATAGCGATACTGATTCCGGGATCTGTGCTGACTCGGATAATCAGCTCTCACCACGACATATCAATGCTGCCGCATATTTGGATAATAAGTCGAGAAGTTTGCAACGCAAGGCTGAAATAGCTGTCTACCGTGATTACTTGACACCAGAAAGTGCATGGTGAGGAGTGCTGTGCAAAGAGCAGCCGTTATAGATTAGCGTGCCTTGTAGCAGCCGGAGTGAGAACCTTGATAGCCATCTGTGGGTAATTGCTGTGTTGCGCGCAGCCAGACTTGGTGTACATTGTCGTTGAAACGGATGACGAACAAGACTTCCTTCAAACTGATGTTACAACGACGACTCTTATGGTTGGAGACGCTAGGTCGGATTGAAATAAAACTTTATTAAACAAAACACGCTGATGGTACAGGCGGTTGCAATGAAGCTATATCTGGAGAACTTTGGATGCGAAGAACATAACACGAACACGAACCCTGAAATTCATAAACAAAATAACAATCTTTTATACTCATCACAGCGGGAAGGAAATTTCAAGAAAGATTACTGGAGGTAGGGAAATTTCGCTACTGTTCGCTTTTGGATCGTTCTGACTTCTTCCGGTGCGCCCCCGCTTGTTTTCCTAACAGTCGGAGTGCAACAATTTACTATTTTTACGCAAATGATGCGCAAAGAAGTGTAGGGAGGATACCATTTGGAATCCAAATGGCATCTTCTCTACATTTTTTTGAACACTAATGAGGTTTCAAAATTGACCGTTTATCGGAAGCCAGATAAGCCATTGCTGCAGAAGCGGATCATTGGCGATGCGCACCAGGCGGATCCGTGCGATGGTACGCTTTCGCAGTACTTTGTTCAAAAAAAGCTAGAACGGAAACACAGTAGCTATAAGTTGTGACGTACTGGTCCTCAAAGATCGGGAAGTTAAATGTGCACTTAGACAGGAAATTCTCGTAAATTTCAGTTTTTCAACTTTTCTAGTTCCAGAGTTAGCAATTTTCCGGTCAAAAATTTCCACGGGATTGTACGTGAGGACCACGCAGTCCTGTGGGCTGAATTTGAAATGTTGGAGTTTCGCTTGGACGAGAGACATCCCTTCAAAATTTCAGCTTTCCAGCTTTTCTAGTTCCTGAATTAGCGACTTTTCCGCCAAAAACTTTCAAGGGGCCATACGTGGAAGCCGTGCATACGCGGGAGCGGAATTTGAAATCTTTGAGTTCTACGTGGATGGCAAACATCCCCTGAAGATTTCAGCCTCCAGCTTTTCTGGTTCCCGAGTCAAGCTGTTCTCCTGCTAAAACTTTCACGTGATCGTATGCGTGGCCCAGATGTGCACGAAGGTTGCTATCGCTGGAGTGACACTTGGGCAGAGAACGCACTGGCAAAGTTTCGGCGCCGGACTTTGCGCTGAAATACCCGGATAGATGCACATACACGTACACATATCATCATAGGTCGTCAAAATATGCATTTGCGTATATGCAAAAACGTATAATTATTTATAAGGCAGAAGCCCTTCATCGAATTTCTAAGCGCGCCATATTGAAGTTGTGATACTAAATAGGAATGTGCACGACTTAAACATCCCTGCTGAAATTATTATTCTTATTTCAATCTTTCCTTGCAATTTTTGTCTTTTAATTATCAAATGCATCCGATATCAATATCGATCCAGAAACGCAAAATTTACAGCCTGGAGTCGAAAAAGGCACATTTTTACAAATGAAACATCGAAATACGTTTTTTTTTTTTCTGGCACTTTTAGACTTTTGGGTATTTGCACAAACTTTTATTCCATTCAAGATTGTTAAGGGGATAAGTTGTACTCAGGTCGAGTTAAGATCAAAATTTTAGCCGGTTAATTGTAGGCGCTGATTTAACATGTGAACAAAGCTATGTTGCAGGAGGTTATGTGTGAATTTGCCAGATTCCGCAGCCGGTTGCCAAAATCACATAACACCGAGGCCGCAGGTATATACTAACAATAATCAGACGTCAAAAATCGGGAAACAGTTTCGGGTTCGATTCGCCGATCAGGTAAATTCCTGCTTTAATAGGTGAGTTCAGTGGCGGATCCAGGGCCTTTCGCCCCTCCCTTCCTTTTCTCTTCTCATTTCTCCATCTCTCAGTGGAACAAGCACCAGTGCCGTGAAAGCCCGGAACTAAAGCTAAAATTAAATAAAGACTAAAGAAACTCTAAACTAAAGGAACTCCAAGTAGCAATGTTGCAACTCTCTTCCTAGTTTTTGCATAGTTCCAGGGTGGGAGACGACTCTCCTCTGCACCCCCGTCGTCTCCTCTTCCTCCCCAACCCCCTCTTCTACCCTCCTGTCCCTCCCGCTGAAGCCGCACTCTCTCTCCGCCCCTGTCCTGGATCCGCCTATGGTGGAGCTGCTGCAAAATCGAATAGGAAGGGCAATTTAACTGTTTTCATAAATGTAACCAAACAGCAGCAAATTTAACAGTTTGTTTTCTGGAAAAAGCTGTATCTGATTACCTGCCCTCGATGAAAAGTGGCCGAGAAAGCAATATATGACATTAAATGAGGAAATGTCAGCTTATAGCAGCGTTATTTTCGTTATCCTACGAGCGAACCTTAGCTTATAATGGGGTAAATGAGACACATTAATGACTGAAGCCTCTAGTTGCATAAAAATTGACTCACTGATGCGGGACATCTACCTGTTATTGACAAAGCAAGCAACGTGCTCAGCCATCATCGGATCTTACTTCCTTACATAGTTTATAAATTATTTACACATAATTAGGCAATATTACCACCAACAATCAATTAGTGACGGAGCAGAGAATATAAACGGTATTCTTGAAAGGAAACTACCAAAATTACCTCCTCTAACAAGATTTTGTAGTTGGCTGTACTACGGTAGATTCGGAGTTATGCTGACTATTAGAAACATTATTTGCAGACTGTGTCTTGCTGATTATTTCTCGAATAATAAAATTGACAGC